CAGCGGGTCATTGGGTTGCTTTGAGCTGCTGGAACATCTCTAGAAGGGTCTCAGTGCGATTTTCCGGGTTTCATTCTATAGACAGACATGGAGAAGACCTTCAGAAATGAAAGCATTTCACAGCGCTTCAATAGATGTGTGAAGAGCTTGGGTTGCTGGCTTCTCCTTAGTCATCGTCTCTGTTCTTCCTGTTTTGTACCTTCTCTGTCAGGGCTTCTCTCATCGATTCTTAACGTTCCTCCCTGAAGATGTGAGCAAAGCCATCATGCTCTCTTGATCTGGCCACCTGTGCAATGCTTTTCACCTTATTTCTCAAAAATCAAGAAACCTTTCCAACCATTCCTTCATGCCATTTTATTTCCGTGCATGCTTTCACTCTTTAGAGCTTGATTGCTTCGTGTCTGTCTGGTAGACAGGATGCCTTCGTTGGCAGCGGTCTAAGAATGGCCTACACCGTGCCGCTCATAAGACTGGGATCACCATCCACATCTGTCTTCTGTGTGGTGAGACCAGAAGCCTCTTGCAGGTGGTCTGGAAGCAGCAAAGCACACCTTGTTTCAGAGACTTCTGATGGAAGTGGCATCAGGGTTAGAAGACAACTTCCGTGTAGGCACCTGCAGACTGGAGAGGGTCCGTGTCCAGGATGAACTCAGCACACCTGACAGACAGCCCCCTGGGTTGAGTGACGTGTGGAACATCCAGTGATGCTGCCGCTAGTCAACATCACTGTGTGTGTGACTTTTGGGTCACAGGGATTTATAGCCTCATAACAAGAGTCAGCACACTTTCTTTGGTAAATGTCTTGCCCATTGAGGGTCACATACATTTCTGTCACTTATTTGCTTGTCTACAACCACATTACATTGTAAAGTCCATTCTTAGAGCCTCATAAAAACAAGTCACCAGCCTATATTTTTTAAAGAAAATCAAGCCCAGCTTCAAGTGCAAAATATGCCACTATAAAACAATAGAGGCTTGGGATGCTCTGAAGCCAGCACCTGTCTTTCTGATGGTGACATTTTAAGCATCCACAGCTCCCTGCCATTGAGTTGGTACTGATTCGTAGGGACCCTGTGTAGGATAGAGTAGACCTGCCCTGGTGGACTTCCAAGGCTGTAAATGTCCACAGCAGCAGACAACCTCATCTTTATCCTATGGACTTGCTGGTGGTTTTGAACTGCTGAACTTGGGGTTAGTAGCCGAACGGGCTATGCTACCAAAGTTCCTGTTTACAACCTGGTGCATAGTTCTTCCCCTAAAAGAACCCATGGCAGACATGAGAGGAAATTGAAATAGGGTGAAGTTTCTGTTAAGAGTTTCAGGGAGGAACTCTGCTGTTTGCAGCTCCTGTGTAAATCTAAAATTACTGGAAAATTTGAAGTTTATTTTAAAAATCGTGGTGTAGAAAGATAGGCCTTTTCTCCTGAGATGTCCTTTACTTGGTCAGTAGACTTTTGTTTTGGCATTCTAAACAAATGCCACCTCTCCAGCAGACTTTGTGTGATTGATGTGCTTCTCGAAGTTCAAGCTGTGTCCGGGGTGGCTTTGCGTTCTTCTCGTCCCAAGGCTGCTCCTTGGCAGTGGGAATTTTGAAGAGAAAGGTGAAGCCTTTTCCTGTAACATGTTACAAACAAAGTCTTTATCTTTCTGTCCTGAGCCTAATGCCATTTCAGTGTCCCCTGAGATGGTAATCATGCCATTGGAACTGCATGCACTCTGATGCATGCACTGTTTAGATCCTTGTCATTACTTTGAACTTGTTTCAAGGGGTTGATCACATGCATTCTGCCCCTTTATCCCTTAATCTCCACTGTGCATTTACAAGGGGTCCTGGTGGCATAGTGGGCTACACTTGGGCCTGCTAGCTGCAAGGTCAGCAGTTTAAAGCCACCTGGGCTCTCTATCCAGTAAAGAGTCTAAGAAACCCACAGGGGCAGTTGTACCCTGTCCTGTAGGGTCACACTGACTCAACAGCTGTGAGCTTGGTGTTTTTAAACACTGGAAACATACAGATTATAAGAAATGTAGTAGAGAAAAGCTGAATTGACTTCTCTCTTCTCATAGTCTCCCAGGACCATAAGCTTAACAGAAGGGCAAGTAGAATTGCCTGCATCAGTACATTTTCATCTTTTTTCTTACTTCCTCCC